GAGGAGAGGGCAGGGAGGAGAGGAATGGATCAGCCCCTCGTGATGGACGGTGGCTGCTCCTCCTTTGTTGCTTTTTGTGTGTGTTGCAGCCTGGCAGATGGCCACGAATTGGCGGCGTGTTTGGTGCAAGTGCATGTCGTGTGCCTCCAGCAGGAAGGAGATTGGAGACCTGACACTGCTGTGCTGGGAAGGTGCCTTCAACCCACCCTTATGCCAGGCTGGTTTTGCAGGGGAGTCAAGTGTCAACCCTCCTCCTTTGAAGGGAGCTGTTTTGTGACTGAGTGCAATGCAGAGTTGCTCCTGCAAACGCAGTCGTGTCCGTGTTACAGTGGTGAGATTGCTGGTGTTGGCCGCTGCGTCTGGATTTTAGAGCCGAGTTGGCAGGGTGGACGTGAAAAGTGGTGCCTCAGCCATGGGTGTCGTGGCAGTAATGCGGTGAGCAGGGTCCAGGTGGAGAGGGCAGGGAGGTGAAGCCCAGGGCTGCCCCTAGTGCTGGATGGTGGCTGCTACTCCCTTGTTGCTTTCTGTGTCTCTTGCAGCGTGGCGGCAGGCCTTGGGTTGAGCTGCCCGCGTCGTGCCTTTGTCCTCCGGGTCCTGTGTGAAGGAACTGGAGTCCTGGCTCTGCCGTGCTGGAAAGCTAAGTTAAGCCAAGCGATCCCGTGCTAGTTCACCATTTGCTGACATGTCCTTAGCGCTGTGATCAAGGGAGCTGGTGTGTTCTGAGCTACGGCCTGCATCAGCTTGTGCAACCGCAGTCGTGTCGTCATTGCAGTGCTGCAGTGGCCGGTGCTGGCCCGTGCCTGGGAGTTTGGAGAAGAGGTCGCCAGGATGAGTGTCTGGAATGCATCAGCAGCCGGGGCTGTCATGCAAGTGAGCAGGTGAGCAAGGCGTGAGAGGAGAGGGCAGGGAGGAGAAGAACAGTACTGGCCAGAGTTGATAGCTCACGGTTGCTCCTCCTTTCTTGCACTGTGTGTCTGCTGTCCCCTGTTATTTTTCCGTGAGTCGCCCTGTCCCCGTCATGCACTTGTCATCCCTGGAGTGTGTGGAGGCAACGGTGACCTGACCCTGCTGTCCTGCAAAGATAAGTTATCCCACACCATACCTCAGCCGGGCTTTTCGTTGGGCTGAAATCCCCGTCCTTGCGTTTTGAGGGGAGCGGTTGTGAAACGAGCTAGGGCCCCCAAGAGCCTCTGTAACCACAGGAGTGTCTCTGTTGCAGTGAGTGAATTGCTGGTGTTAGCCCCTATCTCTGGAGCTGTGAGAAGTTTCCGAGGAGGAGCTGAAGGAATGCTGCAACAGCCGTGGCTGTCGTGCAAGTAAGCGGGTGAGCAAGTTGTGAGAGGAGAGGGCAGGGAGGAGAGGAATGGATCAGCCCCTCGTGATGGATGGTGGCTGCTCCTATTGCTGTGGTTTTAATATGTTTGTGCTCTTTTGTCTATGCTTCATTTTAGTTTGCAATTTTTTGTTTTTTTAATGTTATCATGCTATTGAATGTGTGTTATTTATGTTATCCTTTGTTCTTTTTCTCTTATCTTTTTGCAGGCCAGCATTTTAAAGCCTTTTTTTGAGATTGGTCGAGAACTGAACGATGTGGAAGTCTCCTCGCCTAGTGATTTAAGTGTTTTTTTTTCATTTTTCTTTCTTTGACTGTAGAGGCTTGACAATGACATCACCAAAACGTGTTACGCCTTTTTTCTCTGCCTGTTCCCCTTTTCAGAGTGGCTTGGCCTTCTTCAAAGGTGTAAAGACATTTATTTAAGGACTGAGATACATGCAGACCCTGACTCTTTGGTAATGATCTGATTTCGTCTGGAATCTGCATGTAGCCTTGGACAGAAAGGGATTTAGCACTATTCACCTTCTCTTTTTGAACCGTCTGAAAATAAATTTTTTTAATTAATGATCTACTCGAATGATTCTTATTGTTTGTGCTGTCTTTTTAAGGACACTTAATTGTTCTTTCTTATTTTTTTTTCTTTTTCTGGTGGAATTTCTTAAGCTTCAGTTTCTTAGCAAATGACCCCCCACTGGCAGGGGCTTTTTAAACAGCCTGCTCTCTTGATCTGTTGTTTGCAAGGAGTCACCCTTCGGTAATTTGTGCTAGATCTCCATTTCCAGTTCTGGTAACCTAATTCTGCTTCCCATTTTGTGTCATAGCTTTTGTTACCCTATAGCAAATCTGCTTTTCCTTACATAAAACCAGAATCCTTGCCCTATCTTTCTCACTGCACAGAGAGGATGAAAGAAAAGGGAACGCAAAAGAGCATCACAGAAGCTGCTGTGATCTCTGCTTCTCCCCACATGCATTCCCCTTCAGCTACATGTTGGACAGTAAAACAGTATTAGTCCGCACTGGAATTGTTGGAAGAAACACCTGATTGATTTGCATTTGAATAAAATATCCACCTTGCTAACATTAAGAGTCAGTGGATATTTTTGAGGATATGCTGGCAGCTTTGGGTTTGCCATTTGATCTCAGGTAGTTGGTCCATACAATACACTCCCATTTTACAAAGCTCCTCAACATACTACTTTTCTGAGGTATTAACAGAAAACACAGCTAAACAGGAACACCAGCAGTGCGACTCTGTGGGACAGAAAGAAACGTTTCAAGAAGCATTTAGACATTGTATTGATGGGCATATTTTACTGGGAAATATTGGTGATAGATGGACAGTTGGACTGGATCATCTTGAAGGTCTTTTCCAACCTTGATGATTCTGTGATTCTGTGACAGCACCCTTGGGTTGGCATGAGTGTGTTTAGATGCAGGTAGAATGCTGTTTGGCACAGTAGAGTGCAGGTAGGCCCTGGCAGCAAGCAGCTTTGGCCTGTATTTGGTTACAACAGCCACCTTACTGTAGTGATGTGCTTGCTGAACTCATGCTCAACCTGTTGCATAGTACTCATGTCCAGAAAGCCCTTAGTGCTCCCCTCTGTATCTCTGTATCTTCTGTACTCCTTGGGAAATCTGTGTCAAGATAGCAAACTGTCTGGCTGTTGTGTTCTTATTGAGTCAATTCAGAACAAAAGTTATTTTCTTAAATGAGGAGGACTGAACAAAATGTCCAGGAGACAACTGCTTCCTGCTGTCAGCTTGCAGGGTTTCCAAAGGCAGTAGATTTGCTCTTTGCACCACACTGAACTGGATAGTATGTTTCATTGCACAGGAGGTTGTGCAAGTACACAAGACATATTTGTTTCCTAAATGAGTCAGGAAAGATGAAAATTAATGGAAAAATGATTGTGGGACTCTATATTGTACCTCACAGGTCAAAAGCAAAGAATGCAGAAGCAAGTACAAGCAAATGGATGGATGAAGCTTGAGACTGTAGTATCCTTCTGCTATGGACTACAGCAGCATGTGACTTCTGTGGATTACTGTGAGTGAAGTGTGGAGGTTTAAGAACTGCCTGTACTCAGTGAGCTCTTTGTGGGATGTAGTACTGCACAAGGAGTGCTGTGATCATCCAAACAGCCCTTTCCAGAATCCAGCTCTGCTGCTAACGCTTGAACAGTGCAAAAACTCAATAAAATCATAGCGTCATAGAATATCCCAATTTGGAAGGGACCCACCAAGGATCATCAAGTCCAACCCTTGGCTCCACATAGGAACACCTAAAATTCAAATCTTATGTCTGAGAGTATTGCCCAGATGCTCCTTGAACTCCAGCAGGTCTGGGCCGTGACCACTGCCCTGGGCAGCCCGTTCCATGCCCACTGCCCTCTGGTGCTGAACCTTGTCCTAACCCCCAGCTGTCCCTCCCCTGGAGCAATACACTTGCTGATTTAAATAGCATTACTCCACTGTTTCTTAGGGTCTGGCTTAATCTTGAAATACCTTTTAAGGTATTTTAAAATCAGACACTTTTCTTTATGCTCCTCCTTTTTTTTTGTCTTTGCCTCATACACGCCATATTTAAAGGTATCTGTCTTGTTATGATACAGAGAGAAAAGATTAATTCATTTAGCCAAATGTTTGTGATTCCCGGAGAAAACACCTGAAGATTATTTATAGTGGTGAAGTCACTGAGATTCCTCTGGAAAAAAAAAAAGTGTAACTGCAAATCTGTGACACAGATGATTTGTGACAAGAGGTGAGTCATTCCCTTTGCCTCCCATCACACTCCTGGAGTTAATGTTGTTGACGGGTAACAACAAGGGCTTGTTTTCCATTGACTTCAGCAGCAGCTGCTGCAAATATTGGGGCTAAGCTATCCAGAAAAAATCCAGAACACTTCCAGGAGGGCTGTGATAAGGCTCTGCGATAAGGGGATCAGAGGACCTTGCTTTTCTCTTGGAGTGCACTAGACAGCTTTGCAAAGTCAAAAACACTGCACTGATTAAGACTGGTGCAACAGCCAAAGTTGTGCCTTACAGGGAGATTTTCCATTTGATTTAAACTAAGAAGGTAAACTAATTACGTGAATGAATGTTTCCGGCCAGGCAATATCAACCATCTGAACGTATTTAGCCAATGAACTATTAAGTGCAGTATATCTTTAGCATCACAGGAGACAGTAACTTACCCTGGTGGCAGCTAATCACTGCTGCCTCACTCTGCCCGCAGCCCCTTGCAGTTCCACCCACTCATCAACAGGCCATTGGTGCTCAGTCATGCACGCAGCCATCTCCAGGTAGAAATGGGCCAACTAATTACTACTTCTGCCCTCACTTATGCTGCTGTTTGGAGTAAGATTCAATCCTGAAATGGATCTCAGCAGTACAAGAAGCCTGTCTCACACTCCCTCTCATTTAATGTGGCAATACAGATTCTAATCTACACTGAGGCACAGCCATCCATTTGATGCAGACAGTAACCTTGTCTCTGTGAGCAGCGCTCACCGTAATGTTACTGTCTGCACCACTGTTGCATTAATAATAATTTCTAGCCTTAAAAAGACGATGTAAAAAGGGTATAAATTTTCTAAAGCAATGAAACATATTACAAAAGCAACCTGCACCTACAGAGACAGGCATAGAATCATAGAATTGTTTGGATTGGAAGGAACCTCAAAGAGCTTTAAATAAAATTTCCTTCCTCCTTATATTGAAACAGCTCTCTTCTTCCCTCTCAGCCCATGACTCAGACCCTCTTTTCTCAGGGCTTAGAGGAATTTTCTGAACTTGTTATAGAATCATAGATTTATTAAGGCTAGAAAGGACCTCCAAGATCACCTAGTCCAACCATCATCCCACCACCATCCTGCCCACCAATCCATGTTCCCCAGTGCCACACCTCCACAGTTACTGAACACCTCCAGGGATGGTGACTCCACCATCTCTCTGGGCAGCCTGTCCCAATGCATTACCACTCTGTCTGAGAAAAAAAAAAAAAAAAAAAGACAGGTTTTTCCTAATAGATCTTTGTTCTCCTTTATTTTAGGCTGGAGTACAGTTTTAGAGCAGGTCTGACCATCCTTTCCCTGATAGGCAGCTACAGTTTAGCACTGAGGATCTGTTTCTCACTGTGCCTCTTCGAATCTCAACATCTTTTCCTGCAATTCCTAAAGATCATTGCTGACAAAGACAGCAATGTCCTGAATGTGTTCTTAAATATTTGGAATTCTTTCAAAGTTAGTCTTAGGTTGTTTCTATTAATGTGATCCTGACTTTTTGCTTGGGTTTGCCTACACAGGGACAATGAAGGAATTTAATTTAAATGAACTAAAAGCAGCAGTTTAAAGTGAATTAATTCACTAGTAAAGTGAATTAAGCCTCCCATTTCGCAATTAAAGTGGCCTTAATATGACTTAGCCTTGAAAAAGAAGTAAACCAAATCAAGTCAAAGCTACTTTAATTCTGACAGTTGCCACAAAGGGCTTTAATCAGTGCAGTTAAACTAATCCCCTTACAAACCCAGATAAACTTTTCTGAGCACCTTCATGCAACCAGCTCTTCACACCACATTCTGGTGGAAGCCCTACTGCTGAGGTTTGCACTTGAGCAACAGCATCAACTGGAAGAGTTGTGTGACTATAAATCCAGATCAGCTTAATACTTTGTTAAACCTACCAGCTCCCAGCAACTGTGCTTTTATAGCACTGCAGGCACTCATCCAAAAAAGGCCGCCTCATCAATTCTTGTTGGAGAGGAGGGCTACAAAGATGATCAGAAGGCTGAAACATCTCTCCTATGAAGAAATGTTGAGGGAGCAGGGCTTGTTTAACTTGGAGAAGACTCCAGGGAGACCTCATTGTGACCTTCCAGTACTTGAAAGGAACTTATAAGCAGAAAGGAGACTGACTTTTTACATGCTTTGATAGTGATAAAACAAGGTGGAATGGCTTTAAAATAAAAGAGGGAAAATTTAGGTTAGATTTTTAGGAAAAAAGTCTTTATTCAGAGGGTGGTGAGGCCCTGGCACAGGCTGTCCAGAGAAGCTGTGGATGCCCCATCTCTGGAGATGTTCAAGGCCAGGTTGGATAGGGGTTGGGACAACCTGATCTGCGGAGTTGGCAACAGTGCCCATGGCAGGAGGGTTGGAACTCAATAGTCTTTAAGGTCCCCTGCAACCTAAGTTATTCTATGAGTCTATGATTCAAGGAAAAGGAAGAGAAAATGACGATGTGCAATCTCATGTGTCTCCATTGGTTAGCAAAGAGGTCAGCTACCTTGGTAAGTAACTTGAAAAATTTGCAGTGTGCCCTGATGAGGCCCTCTGCGTGCAGGTGGGCTATGATCAGTCTGTAATCTGCTTTAGGTGAGATAAGAACTTCATTAGCACAAAATTCATTTGCCTAAATGGGCATTCAAGTGGCAAAAATTAGGATAGATAGCAATTTATCATTATATATATATATTTTACATAAACTTAATATTTGGCAAGTGTCAGCTCTGACTGGGGTCACAGCAAAGGACATAGCTTACAAATGAAAAAAAAAAAAATCACAGATAACATTG